GGCAACGTACTTTCGATTATCGATTTTTTTATTTTGTTATATTGGTACACTCTTCCCGAACATCTGTACCAAGTTTCAAGTGTATAGCATATTTTGTTTGGTTGTGAGAGGCGTAAAGGTTATAAGTGTTTTGCGTGCTCGGCGATTTTTTGCTATCGAAAAATATGGATCAAAGGATTTGCATCAAATTTTGTGTAAAAAAAATTAAATTTAGTGCTCCGAAACACTTGAAATGTTGACAGTGGCATACGGTGAAACTGTTCTGAGTAAAAAAAAATGTTTCAACCTCTTCCAAGATGGCCGGGAAGATGCCAATGACGAGCCTCGCTCTGGACGCCCAAGCACGTCAACAACTGATGAAAACGATCAAGCAGTGAAGAAAATTGTTTTGGAAAATCGTCGAATCACTATCAGAGAAGTTGCTGAGGATATCGGCATATCGCTTGGCTCGTGCCATGAATTTTTTTCTAACGTTTTGGAAAAACAATTCATGGCTTTTGCATCACGATAATGCCCCTGCTCACTCATCTTTGCTTGTGAGAGATTTTTTGGCTAAAAACAACACCACAATCATGCCTCAGCCACCATATTCACCGGATTTGGCCCCATGTGAATTTTTCTTGTTCCCAAAATTAAAGAGACCTATGAAAGGACGGAGATTTGCAACGATTGAGGAGATAAAGACTGCATCGCTGGAAGAGCTAAAGGCTATACCGAAAAGTGCTTATGAGAAGTGCTTTGAGGATTGGAAAAACCGTTTGCATAAGTGTATTGTATCTGAGGGGGATTACTTTGAAGGGGACAACATAAATATTGATAAATAAATAATTATTTTTTCTTAAAAATACAAAGTCACCTTACTTTTTGAACACACCTCGTATATTGCTGCAGCCACCTAACATTTTTCCTCGTGGCCAGTATACAGTGTTGTTAACATTGGCTCCGTTGGTCACGCCATCGTTTTGTGTGTAATATTGCCAGTCGTATTTAGTGAAAAATATGCCTTTGTCTAATCCAGGGATCTGAAAATTATACAAGATTTTTAAGATTCTGTCACAAAGTTATATGCAAATGATAAAGAATCAATCAGGAAATTATTCTTACGCTTGCTTCTATGGGTGGACTTGGTCCAGCTTCGATCAGGAGAATTTTCCATTTTTTCACTTCACTCAGCCTATTCGCTAGAACACAGCCTGCTGAGCCTCCTCCAACTATCACGAAGTCGTATGTTGCTCCATCTGAACAAACATTGTTAGGTATTTATGTTAATACTGTTGTAAAGTAAATAGAAAGAACTAAATAAATACACGTACTTTTTGTTTTTGTAAAATAATTAAATAAACTTATTTTTTTAGGTGGTAAAGTGAGGATTACTGAAAACAACTACAACAAAAGGTGATAATAATTAAGTGAATAAAACACTAAAAGGTTCGAATACAATTTGAAACAAAATAAAATGTTTTAATATTGTAAAAAATGTCTCTTAAAGCAACTATTACTTATTCTGTGCTTAAAGTAAATTTCCCAGAATGGGATGTGGATGAGCACCGCCCAAACCATAGTTCACTGCACAATTTCTTTAGGAATGCGTTAATTACGTAGATATTTTGTTTTCTTTGCTTAGAGTAAAAACAATTTCCATATTATTTGTAAAGTAATTGCCAATAATAAGCAATAAAATTATCATCTTTTCAAAAGAATTATACAGAAAAATGAAGAAGTTAAATTGGTTACATCATAGAATAATTACCCTCAACATCATCATCAGGAATAGTTTGATCGTTCAAAAGACATTGAGATGCTGCAAAAAATTGGATCGCCGCTGCAAAAGTGTCGGGAGCAGTGCCTGTAGTGGGCGACAGGCATGAAGCATTGTAACCACTGAAATTAAGACAAAAATGGGATCAGAAAGAAAATTTTGAGTACGGACAGACGCCAGCACGTCAAGCAAGCTAGCACTTTAAGCTAAACATTGTGGGGTCTTAATCAGTTGTAATAGAGTTGAGTTTGAAATAAAAATGTATGTATATTATTTTGTGTACCTCCAAAACTGTAGAAGGTAAGTAAACACTAGAGGAAGATACCATGGGATATCATTACTTTTTATACTTAAATTATTACTAGGTACTTATTTATAACAAAATTAGTTATGAGGGAGTCGAAAGTGGCTCCAAATGGTTCGTGTAATATTATACAGGGTCTAGATTCTTAATGCAGTTTACACACCAAACCCGCTGACCCACCGACAATAGTTTTCGATTTTTACAAATTGTCAAGAGTGATAGAAAGTAAGTCAACACACGAATCTATTTCCTTAATTCATTTTAAATTCTATCCTCATTATTTGAAATAATTTTGAGAAAATTTGTGATAAGCACACCAGACTCTACATTTGTCGCAAATATACTTGATACAGACCAAGAGCTTCCTCGTTGTGGATAAAAAAAAAAAAAAAAAAAAAACTATTATTACAACTTCATGTATTAGTGTATAGTTAAATGTTTCGACATCTGATCGTACAATATAAAATCAAGCTTTTAAGAAATAAACAAAACAAATAAGAATACTTACCAACTCATTCTAAACTGCAATTTTCACTAGCCTTAGATGACACTCTAAGAGACACTAAAACCAGTTGCTCGTTAATTCAATAAAATGTGCTAACTTTATATTGCTAAAACAGCCCAATTATTTTCAGGTTAATTATTTAACTTATCGGTAATGTTCGTACTAAATACAAGTAAAAATTCTTTAAAATGATAAGCATTTGCTGCTAACTGCTACTTTTGAATATTTTTATGCCTATGTTAAAATACTAGTGGTTCACCCCCATTTTGCCTGGCATATAACTTATAGATATCAAGTATCACTTTAAGTACAAGCGAATCGATACACGATAGTAGAAAACAATAAAATTGTTACCGCGATCTCATGCGAGTGATTAGGGTTCCACGGGATAAAGGTAATTTTATTATAATTTATAGGATTTAATTATTAATTTATTTTAACTATTAAACAATGAAACTTTCAAACTAGTAACTCAAGATATTGGAGATGTAACAAATAATGATTTTGGAAATCAAATTATCTTACATTGATTACTTACCTATTTTATTTTCACTACTTTCACGGCTCCACGGTGCCGATTCGTGGCGTTTGAAAACTATGTGACTGATAAAATGATAATAATTTACTTTTTATGCATCATTTATGAATATTAATGTGAGTAGGCACACACGCACTGTTATTAAACCTACAATAATATTGTATTAATTAACATAGCCAGGTAAAGACAATTGGGGATCGAATGGTCTATAGTGGTTTAAATTTAGAAAGACGGAACAAAGTTAAGTTCTGCGGGTTCGAATCCCGTGTAGGTCAAAATATAGTGCATTTTCTTCATGCTAGTTGATCGATCAGCTGTTACAAATAAATAAAATGTCTGCTTTGAGTTAGAAGTAACTGAATTTCTTGCATTACCTCTTCTTGGCACTACCCCACATTATTAAAATGAGTTCGTTCGTTCGTTCGTTTCAGCCGAATGACGTCCACTGCTGGATAAAGGCCCAAGGAAAAATTGGTCTCCACAAAGATCGGTCCTGCGCCGCCCGCCTGCGATTAAAACGATAAAGTATTGTAAAAAAAAATATTAATCATAGTGAAAATTAAATCGTAAAAGACACTTACTGTAAGGTATATATTATAGATCGTGCCATCCACGAAGACGCGCCCCCCAATTTTTTGTCGAGAAAAGCGCGGGGTGCGGGGAGTTTAATCCGAGCAATCCGAGCGTCATTAGTGTAGTGTGCGTGCACACTCATGGATAATTTAGCGTGTACCGATAACACTGTAACATTAGTGGAAGAATGGTGGAGCGCTTCGTCGTGGATGGCACGACCTTATTTTTTTCTAACTCGCCGTAAAATGAAACGTATTTAAAACATGTCTAAATGATTTCATCGTACCCTATAAAATACAAATGAACACGATGCTATCTATTACCACATTTATTATTTCATAATTTTATGAGCAGCTGTATAAGTATTTATGAGTGCATTCACATCACTGATGCGACATCAGGTATGGTTCAATTGGAAAATATTCTTTGTTAGATAATAGCATCTTTCATAACTAGAGAATCACTGAAGCAACACTGAAGCACTATGGAACTGAAAGTTAAAATTGTAAGGGGTCGATTCGCAAATTCATTTTCGACATTTGTCCCTTATAACCTTATCGACTTCCACGGGAAGAATGGGAGTTGTTCTGGGACCACAACCACCCATAGAAAAACAAAACTTCAATAATCACTTTGTTACCTACAACTAAAACAAATTAAACTTACCAACACTCAGTTGACGTTTTGTGTCGGACAAAAATATTTTCAAGTACCTATTTTTGTTTTTAGTTTCTTATTAAATGTCAATAAAAGCCATGGATAATAAGATCGCTTGAAGGCGATAACTTCTGTAGCGGTAAATAAAATAAAAAAAGTGTTTATGTCTAAAAGTTTGTTAATAACTATACGATTATTAACCTTGAAATAGCTTTATATAATACTGACTGCGGCTACGTCACTTGCCTATAACAACGTGTGTATTTTTTTTTCAAACAGTCGTCCAGTCTAATTAGACCTCTCATTTCATGGGGTTTGAGTAGGTACTGTAGAAGCCGAAATCATCACAAGGGCTAGCCACATTGCATGCGTTCTGCGGTCAGGTCAAAGTGAAAGCAGCCGAAGATGTATGCATAACATTGTCGGTCAGCAGGGTACATAATCGGTCAAATTCAAAGTCAAAATTTCTTTAATTATGTTAGTTATTTTTTAAAATGTACTTGTTACATGCGTCTTAAACTCATTTGCCTCTGATGTCAGTGTGACGTGCTAATTTTGGGACACTGTATACTCAAAATCTAGGTACATTATAGCAAATAACATTTCACCGTATTTTCATTTATATGCTTGACCATCAACTAGGAAAGAAAAACAAATTGCCTTCATGCCATATATTTTATTACAGCATAATCGTATACATACACATTCAAGTTTTAAAACATAATCAAAAATTACAAATATCAATTATTGCACGTATCATTTGTTTGAAAACCATAATATTCTTTAATTAAATTGGCTGCTCTTTCAGCAACCATAATGACTGCACCATTGATGTTCCCACTGATTTGTGACATCATTGCACTGGCATCCACCACTCGCAGTTTATCGACAAAATGTACTTTCATTTGACTGCTTATTACAGACGTTGTAGTATCATTACCCATTCTTGCAGTTCCAATCGGATGGTATATTGTAGTAACCGCATTTATAGCTATACATTGCCAATATTCAAAGCTGTCCAGTTCATAAGGATCACACTCAGGCCAACTCATTCGTCCCAAAAATCCATTGATGGATTGAAAATATTCTGTATCAACAATCTTTGTTAACATCTGTATCCCCGCAACTGTGGCATTTATATCCTCGGTGTTATTTAGATAGTTAGTGTAAATCAACGGGTGATCTAGAGGATCAGACGAGTTTAAAATTATTTCCCCTGTAGATTGAGGATGAAGGAGGTTGAACGAGAACAAGTACAAGGTATTGTTCTTATTGAAATTCAATACTGATTCTGTCATGACATCTTTATAATAAGCATAACGAGTTAAATAAGCTTCTAATGTTGATGAATTCTTGTTGAATAGTTTTAGATGATTCTGAAATTCTGGGTATTCAGTTCCATTTCTGGCGTAAAATGCCATGACGTCAGCAAAAGTATTTTGGGCCAGAGTACCAGTTTTGTTATAAATGTATAATAATGTATCCAAACTCTTTTCTCTTAGAGTAGGGTCAGGGGAACCACTGCCATATATAGTAACTGGAACAATGAAATGGTCTTGCAAGTATTTTCCAACTGCAGGCAAATCAACTAGACAGCTAATATTTTTCGATTCTAAGTGCTCTTTTGGTCCAATTCCAGATAACATAAGTAACTGTGGTGTGTTTACGGTACCAGCAGACACTATGACTTCAGTTGTTGCATAAAAGCTGAACTGTGTACCATTGACATCCACCTCAACACCTTCAGCTTCCAATGTGGTTTCATTAATAAGGACTTTGGTAACCATCGCATTTGTAAGAACATACAAATTGTCCCTAGTTCTTGCTGGCCTTAAATACACATATTCAGTGCTTGAGCGTCGTCCATTGGCTGCAGTAGCTCTAAATATTCCAGATCCAAAATTGTTATTAAAATTTAAGTCTTCAACCGTTTCAATACCTATTTCATCCCATGACTGAAGTACTTTTAGCGTCAGATCTCTGTAAGTACTGTTGAAAGTATTGATGATCAATGGACCCTGAGTACCGTAGAAACTTTCTAGATCAGGGTTTTCTAATAAAGATTGGTCTTGAACATTTTCGGCTTTTTTGAAGCATTCTTTTACAACGTCTGGACTCCAATCTGTATTGCCAGCATCGTACCATCTCTGGTAATCTAAATTATTTCCTCTAAAGTACACCATGCCGTTTATATTACTGCATCCACCCAACATTTTTGCACGGGGCCAATAAACGGTATGATTGACAGTTGCTTTATTCGTTACTCCATTATCCTGTGTGAAATATTGCCAGTCATATGAAGTGTGCAAGATTCCTCCGGTCATTGCAGGTATCTGAAAATTAATAGTACATAATCTAAATAAATAATAATCTTGCTTAGGAACAAATGAAATTAATGAATATCTATCGGTTATAATGTCGGTTGTAATGTAATGTTATAACGTCATCGCTTTCATCATCATCATCACTAATTTAGCTAACACTGAAGAAACACGATCCTCTCCAATTTAATAGAGGCAAATGGAAGCCTTGGCCTTCACCACGCTAGCCTAGGAAGCCTAATGTTCGCATATTAATCTCTTCTAGTCCTTTTAACGACATCTTTGGAAAGTATAAATGTGTATCTTTAATCGAAATTAATAAATACTAGTGTTTCAGCTCAATTATTAAAAAAATATTATGAATCTTACAGCGCTCTCCACAGGTGGGCTCGGTCCGGCTTCGATCAGAAGTACCTTCCATTGCTCCACTTCACTTAACCGGTTGGCTAACACACACCCTGCAGAACCTCCTCCAACTATGATAAAGTCGAATGAAGACCCATCTGTAACCAATATGAATAATTGAAATGTAGATAAAACTTTAATATGTATTTGTAATGTAAGTTAAAATTGTGACTGTTAAAAATGTACGGCCTGTTAATTAATACAGCTTATTAATTACAAGCCGTACATTTTTAAAAGTCACAATGTTAAGGTAACGCTTGCTATTAAAATAGTTTTTCTTAAAATTACCTACCATCGACACAATGTACCTATACAGGGTTGAATTTTGTAATGTCACCAGGGGGGAAAGTACTCTTAATACTGTAGATAGAAATTTTTACTCAAAGAAAACATTCCTTTATTTTTGAAAAAGAAAAAGAACTTCAATCTGTGATATTACAAAATGCAAAAATGCAGTTCTCTTTCTTATCAAAAATAAAGGAATGTTTTCTTTTAGTACAATTTTCTATCTACATTTTAAAGAGTAGGTACCTACTTTCCCTCTAGGTGGCATTACAAAATCCCACACTGAATGTATACAAGTCACTATTATTTTTTGGTATTTTGTAATTTTTAATTAGTTTACTAATTAATTTTTCATTTGTGAATAACATAATTTTTAAAGTTTAGTTTTTAAGTAATTTTAAGTTTGTATGTTTCTTGTAAATACGATTTACTTACAAAAGTATTTAGTAAAAGTTCCCAGCTAATATTGTAATTAAAATTAATCTGAGGTGGAATTGTGTAAAGCAATCGTAATCATTTGACAGTTTATAACGTACGATTATTCTGTCAAACGCTTTGTTTAACTGACTTTATCGTACGTTATGAACTGTCAAATGATTACGATTGCTTTACACAATTCCACCTCTGAATTGTCTCATGAATCTTTTGCTTACCTTCCACAACATCATCAGGAAGTGGCGTCTCTGCTAGTAAACACTGAGCTGCTGTGAAGAATTGAATTGCAGAAGCAAACGTCTGCGGCACCGTGCCGGTAGTTGGTGCGAGGCACGTGGCGTTATATCCACTGGAAATTAAACAATATACTAAATTAAAGAACAGCAAATGAATAGGTCCACCATTGCTGTGAGTATAATTAAGTAAATAGGCCATACAAGGTCTATAAGTGGACATTGGTCCACGGTGGCCAAGGACTTATAGACCTTGTCCATAAAAATGTTTCGACAACGCAGAACAGTCTGTCCTGGCGTAGCAAAACTAGGAGGCTAACCCCAGTTAGGTTTACGTTTTTATGGATTTGACATTTTGCGCCTAAATGCATTTGAAAGTGTTCTTTCAGATTGTACAGATAACAACTCAGTAAACTAAGCACTATGCTATTATAACAATTCCATAAGAGCTATTTTACTACAAAATGTATAATCTGATGTGATGTTAATTGAACATAGAAAAACCTGACCGTCTACGCATCGCTGTATGCAGGTTTCATGCTCCTTTGAGTTTTTTGTACTTCAGTAGCACTGACCTCTAATATACACTGGACAGGCTTTCTCATACAAATGACAGCTAATTTTGAGTGCCAATTTGAAGCGCCAATACGATTGTAGTAGTATTAACCATAGGAGTACATTACTAATTTTAGTTCCATGAACATATCTGCCCACAGTATGGCTTACAGCGCCAAAATGGCGAAACTCAAATAGGCACGAAAATATGACAGCAGCCAGTCCAGTGTGTGTAGGTACAGGTCAGTGTTAAGTAGGTATGTAAGCTGCAAGCAAGCGTAAAATTAAAACGCGTTACGCTTCACTGGACAGTAGGCTTTACTTTTGTTAGATCGTGCATTTTTTGTGATCGTGATGTATTCCGCAATAAGGGAAACCTTAAGATCTATAAATTAAAGACAAATATCCAATTAGGTAAAGATTTTTTAAAAGAAAATCGACCCTATTTATGGGAACTGGAAATCCACCAAATGTCAATAGTTAGGGAACACAAGAAGAAGAGCTAACTATGTATTTAGTTTTTATTTGGACATAAAATAAAAAGACTGAAAATGCGCCTGAAAATTTATAAAAAATGAGAATGTGTCAAAACAAAATATCTTAACCTGAATAAAAATCAATATTATAAAACTTACCAAGTGCTCATATCGGAAAAATTGATTTCAACTTAACACTGCTTATATTCTGTACATATGTTCATTGTTTCACACAGTTTAAAAAAGAAATAGAACATTTGAACGAAACAACTGGTTTAAATACTGTCATGATGACATAAATTAATTCACTTAGGAAATGGGTCATTCTACAAGAGCCTATGAAAAAAATACTTTTTTTAATTTGAGTAAGTATAATAGGCTAGTTTCCTAAAAAATATTTTTAAGTCCGTCAATTTTAATATAAAAAAATATTGGACACGTAAATTTTTAATTGTCAATCAAACAAATAATTAGTTACAAAGTTATAGTGCGTTGAAGTTCCGCGCGACGTCACAAAGCGCTGCACTTTTACGCACTCACTGACGTCACGGGCCTTTTCTTTAGAACTTTGGCACGCTTTATATCTTTACATTTTCATTAGTTTTAAAAAGTGAAAAATAGGTGTCGAGTATTTTTTGATAAGCTAACTGACGGACTATTTAAAACTCTTGCTTTTTTACCCAGGAAACATCCCTATTGGTATCAAAATTATTCATTATAATAATAACAAAATAAATATCCTTGGACATTTTACACTACGGTTCTAGTCCCAAACTAAGCGTAGCTTGTACTATGGGCACTAGACAACGGATATAAACATACTTAAATACTTTTTTTTGTAAATACATACATAATAATTACATACATATAATATTAAGTACACATAGTAACACCCAGACCCGTCACAGAAATTAAAATTCATCATTTCCATTTCTGCCCGGCCGGGAATCGAACCCGGGACCTCTCGGCATAGTTCTGAACTGAACCACTACACCAAACGGCCGACGCGCCGACTTTAACTTAAATAAACTTAATAACTTAACTAAGTGAACTTTTACCTACAGAATTTTGAAACTAAACAAAGGCATCTTATTTTATGAGTTATAGAAATAGAAATAGAAATATTTATTTGTCTTTGAATAGAGTGTACAGAAGGTCAAAAATAACAAAATATGATCACCTATCCAGCCATCAACAATAGCATGCAAATATATCGAAGAAATATTGATATTACATATAATTATTACGGTATTACTTTTTGCTGATTATTCCCTATAGCTTAAAAATTCTTGGAGAGAGTAGAATAATCGCGCGACAAGCCACTTTTGCAATGTGGTCTTAAACTGATTAAAGGACAGTTCTTTAATATCTTGAGGAAGTTTATTATAGATTTGGACACACATGCAGAAACAGTTTTTTTGAATACGAGTACTTTTTGGGATGAACTCAAGGACTAGTCTATTGCAATTCCTAGTATTACGTGGGAAAACGTCTTTGGCTTTTTTGTATAATATCACTTGAACAAAAATCGGCCTCTTTGTAGAATGACCCAATTACTTTTTTCTTAACCTAACTAAACCACTAAATTCAGAGCACGGTGACGGTGTCACACATGCGTGCTGTAGGGGAGAGCGGGGCTAAACGTGCCGGGGGTATTTATTGCCGAAGCGAATATCTCAAAAACAGAGTTAGATAAACGATCGCATTTTGTAGTGTAATGCCTAAAAGTTGGGCACATGATGTGGCTGCCATTTTAATTGCACCAGGGACGCGGACCTTGTGGCAGTGCATGTGCCTTCGAAGCAAATTTTTGTCTCGATACTTTTTGGTCGTAAGGTAGCATTTTTCGTGCTTTTAATGTGAGTTTTATTCAAATGTTTGTTATGTATCCTAGTTTTGTAATTTTAATACTTTGAGCTGAGTAATTTTTATATGCGAGAAAAAATATCACACAAACGGGGTAAAATGTGCCGATCATGTTGGGTTGCTTGTTTTACTGACCTCAGCTATGGCACAACTTGTCCCAAAGTTGGGCTGGTAGAGCCTCGCTACCCGTTGCGTAGAAAAAAACACTTTTTCTTAAAAACTATTTAAAATGTGCCAAATCTATAGAAATTCGTATCAGATCTAAAGGACAATGACCAAAAGTGGTCCAAATGTCCACCACTAATGAGACCTATATTGGCTTATAGTCCATTAAATAGAGATTAACTTTCAGTATGGGACGAAAAAAAATAAGCTGTCAATAAAAAGTTATGACTGTTTGAAAAATTGTAGTAGTTTACGCGCTTATCTCAGGAAGTACTGGTCCGATTTGAAAAATTATTTTTGTTATGGATAGTCCATTTATCAACGATAGTTTTAGGATAAATAAAATCACCCTACAACCAATAGGGGCGGAGTAGTAAAATAAATGTTGTAAAAATGGGAAATATTATTCAAACTATTTTCACGCGTACAAAGTCGTAGGCACAGCTAGTATAATATTTAATAAAATTCATCTATAACCCCGCGCCACATGCGACATGACATAACATGCGTAGATTAGTTCAAAATGAGCAATGGATAGAATGATATCAAGAACATTTTTCGGATGAAAAGGTAATATTTAATAAAATTCATCTATAGCCCCGCGCCACATGCGACATGACATAACATGCGTAGATTAGTTCAAAATGTGCAATGGATATAATGATATCAAGAACATTTTTCATTATGAAAAGGTAAAAACAGACTTTTTATTCAGTCATAACTTTTTACTGACAGCATATTTTTAATTACGGTTTGGTTATAATTAATCAGTATTTAGTAGACTATTTTACTACATAGGTCTCGTTAGTGGTGGACATTTGGACCACACTCCATACATTTTTGGTCATTGTCCTTTGCATTAGGATGAACTAGTCTTTCAGACATAGTACTTATTTTATCCGAATTATTTAAGGATTTTTCAAACTCGGCACTTTCAGCCCCGTTCTCCCCTAATTAAACATAATTTTATGACATTGACCATCACAAGCCTTATTGCGATGACACGTGATCTAAAGCAATTAATAATAACTAGCGGCCGCCCGCGACTTCGTACGCGTGGATCCCGTTTTACCCCCTTCATCTATCTTACGCGGTTTAGATTTTTTCATACCAATGTTTTTTCCCGCTAACTCCCGTTTCCGTGGGAATTTTGCAATATCCTGTTGTAACTAAGCTTTGAGTTTACTAAGGTACCTGCATGCCAAATTTCAAGCGTTTAACTTAAGCAGTTTAGATTTTTCATACAAAAGGATTTTCCCGCTAATTCCCGTGCCCGTGGGAATTCCTAAGTATCCTATAACCTGCCCAGGAGTACGAAGAATAATTGTACCAAGTTTCGTTAAAATCCGTCAAGTAGTTTTTGTTTCTATAAGGAACATACAGACAGACAGACAGACAGATAGACAGACAGACAGACAGACAGACAAAAATTTTATTGATTGCATTTTTGGCATCAGTATCGATCACTAATCACCCTCTGATAGTTATTTTGAAAATATATTTCATGTACAGAATTGACCTCTCTACAGATTTATTATAAGTATAGATATAGATTATGTGTCACTAATTACTACCTAGCTTTTTTATCTACCTGCTTAATTATTTATAATGAATAAAATTTTGTAAATTCAATTGGAATAGTTTTGTTTCATAAATAAATTAAAATACATTACTAAACAAAAAAAAATTAAACGGCTGAACCGATTGGATTTCACTGAAAATTTTTATTTTATTTATTTATTGAAATAGATTTACCAACAATGTAGGTATTTGCTTCTTAATCTTAGCAAGCTATTAGTTACTCTAAAATAATAATAATGGTAAAAGTAAGTACTTGACGTAATAAATATAGATTTTTGGTGTAGGTTTTTATCATCATCATCATCATTTCAGCCATAGGACGTCCACTGCTGAGCTGCTTTCCATGTTGATCGATTGGTAGCGGCCTGCGTCCAGCGCTTTCCTGCTACCTTTACGATGTGTAGGTTTTATTTTTGTAAAAATTATGTATTTCTGTAATCAAGTGTCATCATACCATCAATATCATCAATAATTTTATAAAATATCGTTTACTCAAGTGTTATTTCACGAGCCTATTTAATTAATTTTAATTTGGACGTCATGGTCGTGTCAAAAACTTTACAGAAGCGTGAAAATCCACATTAAAACACAATGGCATTTAAATTCTATAAATAATTTATTACTCCTTAATTAAAACGTCTCAGTTACATAGATCATTCGGTTGTTCCAACCTATAATCTTGTTTTATCATATTAGCTCCGCGTTCAGCAATCATTATAACTGGACCATTGATATTTCCACTGATATGAGACATCATTACACTGGCATCAATCACTCGCAGTTTCTTGACAAAATGTACTTTCAATCTACTGTTTATTACAGATTTACTTTTATTACTACCCATTCTAGCAGTCCCTATTGGATGATATACAGTGAATACCATATTTATAGCTATACACTTCCAATATTCATCACTATCTAATTCCAAAGCATCACATGTAGGCCAACTCATTCGGCCTAAAAATCCATTGATGGATCTAAAATATTTGGTTTTAACAATCCTTGTTAACATCTTAATCCCATCTACTGTAGCTTTTATATCTCGAGTATCATTCAGATAGTTGGCGTAAATCAATGGATGGTCTTTGGGATTTGAAGAGTTTAGCTTAATATACCCTGTAGATTGAGGATGAAGCAGATTGAACAGGAATAAGTATAAAGTGTTGTTTTTATTTTGTTTTACCACTGAATCTATTACGACTGCTTTATATCTCACAGTTTTATTCAAATAGTCCTGCAAATCCGATGAGTTCTTGTGGAATATTTGAAGATGGTTCTGAAAGTCTGGATATCCAGCCCTTTTTTTACGTGAGTAAAATGCTACGACGTCACTAAAACTATTTTGTGCTAAGGAACCCGTTTTGTTATAAATATATTGAACTGAATCAAAACTTCTTTCTGCCTGCGATGGTTCACTATCACCGTCACCGTATATGGTCACTGGGATCATTAAGTGATCTTGAAGGTATTTTCCGACAGCAGGCAAATTCACTAAACACCGAATATTCTTCGACTCCAAATGTTCTTTTGGTCCAATCCCAGACAACATTAGAAGTTGTGGTGTGTTTACAGTACCAGCAGACAAAATGACTTCTGATTTTGCGAAAACGTTCATCAGCTTTCCATCGCGTTCCACTTCAACGCCATTTGCTTCTAAAGTGTTACTGTCAATAAGAACTTTGGTAACAAGCGTATTTGTAATAACAAATAAATTTTTCCTACTTCTTGCTGGATTTAAGTACACATGATCAGTGCTTCCACGGCGTCCATTAAAAGCAGTTGCGCGGAAAATTCCAGATCCTAGTTCATTGTTATAATTTAAATCTTCAACGGTTTTGAAACCAATTTCGTCCCACGACTGGAGTACTTTTTGTGTTAAGCTTCTGTAAGTGCTGTTAAAGGTATTAATTACTAATGGACCCTGAGTACCGTAGAATCTTTTTAGGTTCGGATTTTTCAATAATGATTGGTCTTGGAGACTTTCTGCTTTTTTGAAGCACTCTTTAACTACTCGTGGGCTCCAGTCTATGTTTCCAGAATCGAACCATCTTTGGTAATCTAAACTGTTTCCTCTGAAATATAACATACCGTTGATGTTACTACATCCACCTAACATTTTTGCGCGGGGCCAATAAGTTTGCTTATTTATGTTTGCTTTATTTGTAACTCCGTTGAATTGGGTATAATATTGCCAGTCATATTTTGTGCCGTAGATTCCTTTAGCCAATCCTGGTATCTAGAAAAACAAAAATTAATTAAGCATTTAAATTTAACATCATGGTATCTGGATAAATAATTCTTTTTCTTCCTCGTTCCCTCACTGATGAGGATCGCGACCACAGATAATGTTCCTCCACAGACTGCGGTCATAAGCTGTGTGGACCGCACGATGCAAACTCCCGCCCACCGTATAATGAATAATAAGCATTATTAATAGAATTGCATTTTTTTTCAATCTTACAGAACTCTCGACTGGTGGGCTTGAACCAGCTTCGATCAGCAGTACTTTCCATTGTTCCACTTCACTCAAGCGGTTGGCTAACACACACCCTGCAGATCCTCCTCCGACTATAATGAAGTCGAATGTTGCACCTTCTGAAATACGATTTTTAAAAATATTGTGGCTATAATGTCATTAGCACACGTGCAAAAATACCTGCAAGCTGTATCTCATCATCATCATCATTTCAGCCATAGAACTTCTACTGCTGAACATAGGCATTCCCCAATATATACTAATAATAGCTTACTATTTTATTTATTTTACCAATGATCCGTGACCCTCACTCGGCATGGGGCACACTGAAAACCAGCGCCGTGGCGTTCGTCACCGTAGGCCACGGCATATGCTGAGTGGGGTCCCGTTGCAGTGGGCATCTTGTTGGTGAATGAGTGGCACTGCTCAGTTTACTCTTGTTTTGATTTTTTTCTTCTTCCATTATTATGTGCCAGTGTCATGTCTATGTAATTGCCTGTATTTGTGTGATGTCCATTGTAATAAATGTATCTTTCTTTCTTTCAATAATTATCAGATTGGACGGTTGGCAATGGCCTGCATTCAGCAGCGTCTTCCTGTAACTTTTATGAGTTCATTTGTCGGTGGGAGAAAGGTGACCTGATAGATTTTCACTGCCTTTTGAAAAATACGTTTTCATGCGCACACTTGCTTTAAAGTATTTTAGCAGACATTGGAGTAATTTACCTGTTACGTCATCATCTGGAATCGGCGCATCTGTTAAAAGACACTGAGCTGCCGCAAAGAACTGAACTGCAGCACCGAATGTGTCTGGTGCTGTTCCGGTGGTCGGTGAAATGCAGGAAGCGTTGAATCCACTAGAAATAAGTACATAGTAATTAATATTATTATCATAATCACTAATATCATAATCACTAATATCATAATTACATTGAGACCTTTCAAGTTCAATGCAGACAATGATAATTTTACACTTTATACAAACTATGTCCAAATAATTGAATCCTGGACAGTCAAAATGATGAGGCTAATAAACAGTATTGTTAAATTGTGTTACTGTGTAATTAAATAAATGCAACTCACCAACTCATATCGACTGTATAATAATACTAAAAGGCTAAAATGCTACTTTTGTGTGCACCATATAAAAACAAGCAGTGGTTAATACAATATGAAATTGCCATTGTTCTGGCTCTTTTATTTTCTTGGTATGTACAGTCAATAGCACATTAGACTGTAAATTTTTGTTGCAAAATAACATCTATTACCACTACATAAAATGCTACAGTTTTTATCTTAATTCTGTCGTCTGTACACCAATGGCCTCCATACTTCTTTTCGAACACAGTTTAGATGCTTTTCTAGATCAAGGCCAGTGTTATCAATACTATACTACATTTCCGTATAAACATTTTGTGGGACAATAAAGGGTCGACCTTGTACCTTACCTACTTGTATTTAATCTTGTAATAAACTCGACTGATAAAATTAAGGACTGTAAGATGATTCTGGTATATTAAAAACTCTAAGAACATGCTTTCATGGAAATTTCATTACGTACAAATTGACGAAGCACTGGAGAAAAATATGACAGTGAAGGAGTGTTTTGTAATATAACTATAATAGCACCACCGACTGCAGGTTCAGATCTTGCTGGTGTCAAAAGTTATTGCAAGCTATAAATTTTCATGCTCACTAAAAGAATTACTATTAATGACAGGGTTACTAGCATGTACCTACTTAATTTCGAGTTTCGAATATTTAGGCACTGTTGCAAGCGCCACGATAACGGAGTAACTGAGGAAACTGGAGGGTGAGATGTTATGGCCAGATATATCGATAGATATATCTACCCTCTTTCGCAGTCTTTTAACGATTGCAACTCGAAATTAAGGTACATGGCAATCCCGTCAATAATAATTATTTAATAGTTTAATAGGTGGACCGACGATATGGTAAAGGTCGCGGGAAGAGCCTGGATGCGGGCAGCGCAGGACCGTTCATTATGGAAAACCTTGGGGGAGGCCTTTGTCCAGCAGTAGACGTCATTTGGCTGAAACGAACGAACGAACGAATAGTTTAAGAATCCTCCTACTAGAAGGACCGATCGGTGAAGGTCGCGGGAAGTACCTGGATGCGGGTAGCGTAGTACTGGATGTTGTGAAAATCCTTAGGGAAGGCCTTTGTGGCTGGATGGAATTGGCAAAAAATCTCGTAGGATCACGATAACTTTCTTCTGCCACTTCTTCTCAACACCAGCCGTTTTGTCCCCAAGTAGTGGTAGGACAAGTTATATTGATACGAGACGTGAAGTGCCTTGAAAAGAGCTATCTATACAGGGTTATTGTAAAACACAAATAATCTCATAGGACTGTTACCTGACATCGTACGCAACATTTTTTTATCAACATTTGTGTCAGCAAAACTTTAGTTTTGATTGTTTTGTTATTCACAAACAAACAATTTATTGGGTTTATATATTTATAAAGTTTTAGATTGGATTATAAACCTTAGATTATAAAATGGAAGAGTGGTGCCGCGGTAAAAATCTTGTACAGAATAAAGTTCATAGATACCGAGATTTATACATTTTAAATACACATAGATACCTACTTTTATCCAGATTATATTAAGATTAACATTTCATTTTGTATTTAATATTCTTTTGTTAGCGATACTGGCCCCTAAAACGTACCACATAAGGCAAAATAATTTTTAATTCAGTTTGTTTTACGGAGGCATAAAATTTTAAAACGCACTTAAAAACCAAGTTGGGTTGGCAAATGAACAGCTAAAGCAAAGAAGAGTTAAATGAACCGAGTAATTTCAGAGCACTGTATGGTACGCCCTTAAAACCCTTTTTTGGGTACCGCCATCCGATCAACAATACCAACTAGATTCGGGACAGCTCAAAAATTACGTCTCGGGAAATAAATATTTAAATAAATAAATAAATCTTTATTGACAACATAAATAAAGAATGGATGCACGTCACCTTTTATCAACCTCAACTAGTAAAACGTAGAACGAGAAATAAATAAATTTTGTTCATCAATGTAATTTACAATGTAAACATAATGCTGTAATGTAAACTATTTACTTAGTATATGGAACACATAATGAACACAGTAAAAAGTGAATGGAAACATTTTTCCGTTCACTTGAGTGAAATGAATTTGTTGAAAGTACATTCATCTTTTATGAGTCTCAAATTAAACTATTTACTAGGTACTACATAAAAAAGGCAACGATAAACATAAAAATATTGTTTTTTTTTATTATTATTATGCTAATAATGAACAATGTTAGCAAAAGCACATTATTTTAAAGTAGCACTGTGTGAAATTTCAATTTTCTGCCTTACAAATTACACGGAACCCACCTGCCATGAACACTACTCACACTTTACAAACGCAGTCCCCTAAATGCGGTTAGGTTAGGCTGTTTTTATTGGGGTGCTAATGTGATAGAGTTAAGGTTTATTTTGCAGAACAAACTGCAAAGAACAGTAATGTGTTTTTTCTGTAACTCACTTGATTAACACTTCGTTATGCTTAAAAATGTCGATGACAGTTTCATAATCCTTTCTCGGTTTTCATGCTCATTCCTCCCCTCTTCTCTATGTTAGTTTTTAATACGGTATAGATCGTTTCATCCAAGAAGACGCGCCCCACCATTCTTCCGCTAATGTTAGAGTGTTATCAGTACACGCTAAAATTATCCATGAGTACGCACACTACAATAATGACGCTCGGATTGCTCGGATCAAACTCCTCGCACCCCGCGCTTCTCTCGACCAAAAATTGGGGGGGTTATTTACTAAATAAGTACCTAAGTAGGTACATACAGATCGATCCAACCTCTTCCTTTTACGAAGTCTTTTAAAAATTAATGAAATTTCTGTGCAACATTGAAAACCTTTGCAACATTATGCTACACTTTTAATGCCGGAAGTTGGTAGCACATTAACTTTACGCCAATGGATACTTCATTAATACCCGCGGAAGTGAAACAGTACGCCATCCGGTGCTGTAATGCAATTTTTAGCGAATTTCCGGGGCGACACAAATTCTCGGGCCTGTACCTCAAGCATGAACAACTTTCGTCTTCGAATCGTTTGCGTATTCGACAAAATTCGATACTCAATCTTCGAATTAAACGATAACGTGACAGTTTTGATTCTCAAAATAAGTTTCGTGCATCCATTTCTCATACACAAGGGCGCTGTTGTAGTTTTCGTACTAAATCTTTTGATGGCGATTCGAATACGCAAACGATTCGAACTCGAAAGTTTTTCGTGCTAGCCGTACGGTACATTGCTTATTCATAAAGTAAAAGTTCACGGTTCAGATGAAATATTGAATGCTTTAATAACCTATTTCCGATTTTATTAGCTTTACACCAAACCAAGTAGGTTTTATTTTTTCACCTTCTTCCTATATTTTTGTGGAAATTTTTACCGAAAACCTTGTGGGAGGCCTTTGTTCAACAGTGGACGTTTTTCAGCTAAAACGGACGAACGAAAAGAGTAAATCATGATAAAATGTACTATACGAAAAGTAAAAAATTCGAAAATTCAAAATTCAAATATTTATTTGTAACTAGTAAAAATAATTATGTATATTTAATACTCGAAAATTACTAATAATAAAATTATAGATCTATCAAAGGGCTCTTGCTTGAGGACGTTTTGTACGTCATATATAAGACCAAAAATTTAATTGTTGGCATGTAAGTAGATAAACGTATTTTTTAATCCAAAGCAGTTGTCACACTAAAGTCGACTTACGTCCAGCTCAAAACATGTTATGTGAAAGGGCCCACCAAAGTATCCGAACCTTTCAAGCAAGAAAATTAATAAAATCTGACATAATAATTTATAGATGTGAACTCACTTATTACGGTTGAAGTAGCCAGGCGTTACTAACGTTGATAAATCACTAATATCGATATCGTAGTTTGATCATATCACTTAATGCGTATATTCATGAATCAAAATCATACTAAGGAAGCTATATACCACGGGTTATTACTCAATTTATTCTATCCCAGGGAACAGTTGGATCTATCGAATTTATCACGCAAATGACAGATCTATTGTTGTTTATTATACAAGAAAAAAGTGACAATAAATCACTGCGTATCTGCATTCGTGCCCAAATCTTTAACGATGGTACACACGGGCTTAGAGAATGGTGAATATTTTTTATTTTTACTTTTTCCTTGTTTCAGCAGAGTAATAAATAAGTATGGGATTTAAAATTTCAAAAACAATTTGAAGATAAAATAACATTTAAGTAATTCCAAAAAATTTGACATCGCAGATGGATATTCGAAACTTACTCGCCAGTTGTAAAAACTTTACATTCTTTTTATTTAGTTTTATTTTAACAAGTGTTAAGATAATAAAATACACTTCATTATTATAATATCAAAACTGAAACACAAGATATAATAAAGCGTACATAATGTTCTTTTAGGTATTACGCCTTTATCAAATACGCCTTAATTAACAATCGGAGGTTTAAACAGTTGTTTCGTTATCGATTAAATTAATCTAGATTTACCACAAAATAATAAATCTAGTTTAACATTTTAAAACAGGCTAGTCTTACAAACAACAATAATATTATGAAATACCTTACTTTCTTAAAGGCAAATAGCTATAACAAATAGATTGGTAAACGTGACTTTAACCTATCTAGCTAAACAAAGTAACATTCATCATCATCGTCATTATCATTTCAGTCACAGGACGTCCACTGCTGAACATAGGCCTCCCCCGATAACTTCCATATCGCCCGGTTGGTAGCGGCCTGCATCCAGCGCCTTCCTGCCACCTTTATGAGGTCCCACGCTACGTTTGCGTACGTGGCCTCCACTCCAGAATCTTGCTGCCCCATCGGCCGGCCGTCAGTTCTGCGTACTATGTGCCCTGCCCCTTGCCACTTCAGCTTGCTAATCCGTCGGGCGTTTACGTATCCCCTCATTTCTGATTCGATCACGTAAAATGAACGAACATTAGTGACAGTTTTAATATTATCGCAATAAATGAATATGAATATGAATATGAATATGAATTGAATATTGA